GGTGTGGGTTCCTGAACGGCTTGGCCTTCACCATGAACAAGTAGACTGACCTCCATGGCTCACTTGTGCGTCGAATGGCCTTTCCTCTCATCACTCTGTCACCAGAAACCACCAGATGTAGGTCTTCTTCGTTTGTCTTGCCAACCCAAATACCTGGTAGCCATTGTGGGCCTTGTTTGACTCCTGGTTGTCGTTGGAGCAACATCACATACTCACCAAAGCACACAACCTTTCCAGCATAGCGTCTGCCTGTTGCCAACTCAAAAGGAGTAGCTTGCAAAGCTCGATGTGAGGCAAATCTGTTGATCAACCATGCAGCATGTAAGTAGACCCATGACCACAATGCGTGACTGCCTTCCAAGGAGATTAAGCATTTGTCCTCGGCCATCGTCATCAAACATGAAGCTTGTTTCCTCAGTGTCTGTATGGCTCTCTCAACTTGGCTTGTCTGTCCTTTCTTTTGCGAGTGCGTCACTGTGGTCTGCAGTCCCAAGCCATGCCTAATTGTCTGGATGTAGGTCAAGAGGTTCCTCATGGTGGGTTCATTGTCACCGATGACCTCCACGTTGCCATACTGGTTGAGCATCAGGGTAAACCTGACAACATGTTCAGCCTGACCTCTCAAGTCAGCACCCTTTCCTTCAACAGGTACTGCCAAAAGCATGCGTGTCTCAGCATCGACACCCACTAAGATCGTGGTGAGGTCGGCTTTGTTGTTTCCTCCTGACCGACCATAGGCGTAGTCAAGCTGCACTGAAGAAATGTTTCTCCTTCCCTCAGCAGATGGGTCGAGAATTCGTTGATGGTCATCTCTGGCCTTTGTAGCAACGCAAAAGTCACACCAATCTCTGTATGGAAGGTGGGTCAACTCATGAAGTTCTCTCTCCTCCTTGCCTGGTTGTCGAGGAATATTCACCTGAACCAAACCCTTCTGTCTGGCTTCTTCTTTGTAGAGCTTGTTGGCGGCCAAGAACAGCTCTTCATACTCCAATTGTTGCACCTTCTGGTTCAAGCGATTCCATATTGCTTTCTTTGCACCTCCTTTGTTCAGGCCCAAGTACTCGGCTGCACCTTGGAGCAATGCTAAAGGACTGTTGGCATTCAACTCCAGTCCATTGACCACCAGACTCTCTCTATTCTCGAGGACTGGGATTGGACCATCCCAACTGACACCTGCATCTTGTTGTTCCACCTCCTCTGGAGTCTGCTCATGCTCAGGTTGCAGCTCATAAGGAACCATGGGCTCAGGAGTGAAATGAAAATCATCACTCTCCACATTGACACCGCCTGAAGTCGCTGTGGTCTCACCAACCACCATGCCGAAGAACTTGATGGGCTCTTTGATCTTGTGCAAAACTGTTAGCACTTGAGTTTCTTCTCCATTGCACTCTGGAATCTCTCCTTCTGGGTCATCAAGTGTGAAGTATCGACAGCAGTGTTCAACCAGCTCCCAAGAGTCATCACGCTTTCGAATGAGGGTGGACCTCATAGGCCACCAGTGGATATTCCACATGAGTTGGGCATTCTCAAAACACTTGCTGGCGTAGTTGAACTTGAAAGGATTGCCATCAGGTCCTGTCTTCCAAGCTCTCAAGCCATAGCTCTCCCAGAAGAAGTCATGGAGCTTCATCACAGTTTGCACCACCAAGACATCATTGTCATCTCTATTCGCCACCTCAGGAAGTCGTCCTTGTAGCTCATCTGGCACCTGTTGCACTCGGTTAATCGTTCCCAGCAAAGCTAAAGAGTTCTTGCGAAAGTACAAGGGAACTGTGCATTGGGCATCTGGTGCTTGCAACTGGACTCCTGTCTCGGTGTTGCCAGGACAAAGACGCCATCCTTTCTGAAGAAGTCGTCCCACGCTCACCAATGGTGTTTGGACTGATGCCACAATGAAGTCATCCTCAATGATGACTGAGCCTTCAACTGACTCACATTCGATCTGTGCCAGTTTTCTACCATAGGTAGCCAATTGGGAACCCTGCGCGTCCTCCAACACAGCTTTGCCAAGCTTCTGTGAGGTTCCTCTGTCTGCCATTGATCTCGGCAAAAGGCTAATGTCTGCACCAGAATCGAGCACAATCAGCATCTTCTCCTCATTGCTTGTGACCATGTTCACATGAAACACTGTTGGCTTTTCATGGTCATGCTCTTCCATCACATAGCGTCTTGTTGGCAAACCAAAGTACCAACGCCAGGTTTTGTCTGAAGCATCTGCAGCTATGAACTCCTCATCTGAACCATCATCGAGTGCAAATGACACCACATTGACTTTGTAGTTGTCATCATAGATCCAACTGTCGCCTCCTTCACTCTGTAGGTCATACAGCACAGGAGTTGAAGTTTCTTCTCGAGGAGTAGCCACATGATAAAGTCGAACCTGTCGAACCTGTTTGCTTGCTGTCGTTGAGGTCGTTGAGGAAGTACCAACTCCACGAAGCTTGCCACCTGCTGAACTTGCGATGTCACTCTCAGAAACACCAGTGTTGCTTCCTGTTGGCATGGATTGTGTCACGGCATTGGCTCTGTTTGGACATTCATTTCCCCAATGGCCTTGCTGTCCACAAATGCGACACGTGTTGGGGTTGTTGCTGCCTTTGCCTTTTCCTGGACCATGGAACTTTCCTTTGCCCTTCTTTCCTTTCTTACCTCCTTTGCCTTTCTTGCCACCTTTGCCCTTCTGGAACTTGCCTCCGGTCTTTCCGTCGCCATACGGAAAAGGAATCCAGCCACCTTTCTTGCTCTTGCCCTTCTTTCCTCCTCCTTTGTATTTGCCCTTGCCGACTTGGTTCACGCTGTCAACCTCCATAGGTGCTGGCCCATTGTTGGCATCAAGGGTGTTCTGAACCAGCTTGAGGTAGGTGTCACCTGACCACACTCGAGAGTTCTTATCCATCAAAATCAACTTCTCTTTCAGCGTGTTGTAGTCCACGGCATCATCCAAAGTCAACTCGAGGTGCCTGCGGACATTCGGATCGACACACCTCATCACCGTGGACACCACCAAGTCATCAGGCATCTCATGGCCTGAGGCAACTCTGTACTGATCCAAGAGCAAATCTAACTGCAAGAGGTTTTCCATCATGCTTCGTCCAGCTCGGAATTGTGGCAGACCCATGATGGCTTGACCAATGGCCATCACTCGAGGTCGTGCCCTCGGGAGGTACAAATTGCGCAGCTGCTGCCACACTCTGAACCCATTGCGATCTGTTGATGCTGCTTTCACAAATTGGGCTGCTGGACCTTTCACATAGGATGCCAAAATGGCAAACAACCTATGACCAAGCTCGATCACCTCATCTGATGCAAACTCTGCCAACGTGCACGGCTCATCCAACTCCTCCACTTGCTTGAGGAGCTCCACATACCTATGGTCCACATAGGTCAGCCAGTTCTTGAAATTGTCAGACCAACTGACAAACTTCAATGGATCATCCACTTCAAAAGCTTCAGGTGCTCTCAGCACTTTGCTTGCTTCGCTGAAGCTGCCATGGCTGTCTTTCTTGTTCAGCTTCTCAGCCACCATAGCTGAGGACCGTGCCGCAGTCATCGTAGCCTCAGTCATCTGCAAAAGATGATTGAACATCCTCTGAGCTTGCTCTCCATCCATAGCTTGGCCAGAAGTCCATAAGGACAAAAAGATCAGACTTCTCGTCTTCATTCTGAATTCAAAACGTTGTCGAAGGCCTCCATTCCACCTTCGTGCTTTGCTCAAGTTGCCCCTGGGCTCATGATGCCTTCTCACCAAGGTCCTCGATTGCTGTTGGGATCGTCGCATCATCTCAGCTCCTAGCACCAAGAAGAGGCTCAAGAACATGTAAACTTCCCATCCAAAGTTTTCCATCATCCATTGCAGGATCACTGAATGCCGTTCAAGGTCAAAAACCAAGGCACCGATGAAATTCTCAGCCACTTTGACATTCCTAAGGAAGTAGCTAGTGACCATTCCTGTGGACTTGCTTTGCATGAAGCTTTCACAGCTCTCATTCGTGTAGTCCAAGCCCCAATCCTGGACAGGCTTTGAGTTCAAGCTCAACTCTTGAACTGTCTGTGCGTTGAAGTCCTCCAAACACGAAAAGTCAAAGTGCCAATCTTCGACTGTAGAGGTTTCACCTCCACTCATGGATCCAACCTTCAGCTGGCCAACATTCAAAGGACATTCAACAGCCGATATCTTGGTGGCCCCAATCCACCTCATAGAGTTCATCTCAAAGTCCATCGTGCTGTCATGGCCACAACTAAGGCCATCATCTGCAGGGCACCAATCCCCGCTCATCCACTCCTTCGTCACCATGTCCTGCTCGTTCTCCATGTCCTTGTAGGGGAAGTTCACCGCATTCACCTCCTCGTTCATGAAGTCGTCCATGAGCTCAACATCTCCGCCTATCTTCATCAGGTTCAGCACCAGGATCAAAATCCATGGCATCCGGCGGGACGGAGCGGCTGGAGCCGAGGCTTTGCTCGGCTCCGCTACCATGACAAAAAGAACGCCGCGGACCTTTTCCAAGCGAAAGGTCACTTTGGGCCACTGGCGAGCGAAGCGGAGTCTTGACATGTCTGTCGGGTGTAAAAGTTCTGACAATAATTAATCTTATGTGATCCGTGAAGTATCATGTAAAAGTATCATGTTATCATGTCTGGAAGATCAGGGCACCGAAGTATCGGCCCAATTGCAGCAAATGGTGTGAAACGTTTGAGAAGATTTCAACACATGATAAATGCAAGGACGCAAAGCATTGTGAGATTCGGGTGGCGATGACGGAAAACAAAAAGGTCGCATTAGTAGCCCAAGAGAATGGAAAACAAATGTAAAACAAAGGAGACTTGAAGCCTGCGGAGCACTCTGCGAAGGAGGAAGCTTTCAGTATTTATCAAAAGGTTTGAAACGTCGTCAAGTTGATTTGAAGATGTCCAAGTGCTCTGAAGATGTCAACCACTAAAAGGCGCTCGACTCAGACAAATTCAAAAAAGAACTGCTTATAAAAAGAAGAAACCGTGGCCTCCTCAAGGATGATCTCGAAGAGTGTGGACCAAGCAGTGTTCGAATTGCCACAGAGCGGATGAGAGCCTTCAGATCCAAAGTTCCACGCTTTGCCTCACGGCCCGTGCGGTGTGCGCCCGTCTCAGAGAACACAACCACTCCATGGACCGATCAGTTAAGGGGCGCCATAGGGGTGAATGGGGCGCCATAGGACTGCCAGTCCCAAACAGGTCGTGTCTGGGTGTGAATCCACAAAAGACTTTTTTACACATGGAAAGCCAGCCACACGCAGTAAGGACAAGAGGAGGACAAGAAGAGGACAAGGCCCAGCCACAGAGCCCAGCACAGAGGACAAGAGGAGGACAAGAGCCCAGTAAGCCGTCCATAGCACACGAGCGCGCGCGCGCTCGCCCTGCTCTCTCTTTCTCTCTCTCTCTCTCTCTCTCTCTCTCTCTCTCTCTCTTTAAGTTTCTCTTTCTCTGTCTTTCTCTCTGCAGAGCGCGCTGTGAGCGCGCCTTTCTGGAGCGTATTTCAGAGCAGCCAGAGCGCGCCGTCCAAAGCACACGAGCGCGCGCCCTGCTGTCTTTCTCTCTCTCTCTCTCTCTCTCTCTTTCTCTTTAAGTTTGTCTTTCTCCAGAGTGTGCCCCGGGCGGGTGGAACAATTCCAGTTGCAGTTCCAGTTCCACGTCGTCCAACACAGGAGGGGGGGGAGTTCCAG